TGTCAGCCATTGGTGTTTGTTTAACCCAAAAAACAACAAAAAAAAAATACATCTTTTTTTTCTTGACCGCAAAAAAAAAAAGTAGCGTCCAACAATTGCTAACTAGCAATCTCCGAGCAGCATTAATAGCCTTTTTTTTAAATCTGAAAGTCGAACACAGTGCTCGGGTTTACCTGTTGCCAGGCAGATTTAGCGTGGCCTAATTATTTTTGACACCCCCCTACTGCACAAAAAATATATAAAATGAGAATCATTTTTTTTATATATAAATATAATTTTTTTTTTTTTTCGGCCATACAACATGGAAGATGAAAACAAGGTCAAACGGAGAGGAGGGATTAGCGAGGTGATTTTTACAACATTAGTGTGAAGCACGGCTCGGCGTTTGCCCCTATTGACAATGACGTGATGTATTGCGGGCGTCCCGTCCGGGCCTCCTAAAGCTGTCGGCTTGAGAGAAGCTAAATCAGCAGCCCGGCAGATTTGATGGCTTTTTTTTTTTTTTTTTTAATATGCTGATCATGTCCTGCCTGCCTGCCTGCCTTTAGTGCTGATTAAAAGAGATTCATCTGCATTCGGAGCGCCTTCGGGTGCTTATCTGAGGAGGTTGCGGACGTCACGCCGGCCCGCTTCAAAGCGTTTGGCGGGAGAACGAGAGAAGCACATATGCCACAAAATCAGGCCGTTGCTCCTCAAATGATTCTCAAAGCTGCTCTGACGTGCTGACTTTCAACAAGTCCCGCTCCCAAATGCCGGCGCATTCGGGAGTTTCCCTTTGCCGCTCCGGCTTGAGCTTTATTGCGACAGCACATCTTCAAGGAAGCCGAAAGCCTTGCGGGGAGGAAAGTACAGTAGCCGACACGCTCTTTCATCGCTGCATGTTTGACAAGTGAGAGCAAATGACAAAGATCAGAGGAGCACGTTTTTTTGCCTTATTTTTGCAGATGACTTGATGATTTCCAAAAGTCTCGTTGAAGCCCCTCAGCGCTTCCTGTCGTTGATCATCTAACACAGACATCCTTTTTTGGGTTTTTTTTTTTGCCAGAGGCTCATTATTCTCACCATCTATGGAGTTTCGAACCAAGGATAGGGTTTTAAATTGGGAATGGGTGAAAGGGCGAGACTCCACACACGTCAGCATTGCGATGAGAAATGAAGGGGTTATGGTTTCCGTGTTATGTCAGGGTTAGGGTTTCAAGTCAAGGCTCGTGTTTGGAGTTGGGATGGGCGAGGATATAGACACCTGATTTATACAAGGATCAGGGTTTCAAGACAGTTTAAAACTAAGTTTGCAAGACAATGTTTTGGGTTTGTGTTTAGAGTTCCAAAGTGTTCCAAACAGGCGTTATGGTTTTCAGGATGAAGTTTAAATTAAGGTTTAAAACATGGGTTGGCGTTTCTAAATTAGGGTTAGGGTTTCAAGATCGGGTTTTGAACAAGGGTTAGGGTTTCTAAATTTGTGTTCAGGTTTCAAGATCGTTTCAAACTGCCTAGGGTTAGGCTTTAAAGTTCAGGTTTGAAACAAGGATTATGGTTTTAAGATCTGGGTGAAGAGTTCCTAAATCAGGGTGAGGTTCGAGGGTTTCAAATCGGGTTTGAAAGCAGGGGTTTTAAGATCGGGTCTGGGTTTCAATTTAGCATTTTAAACATGTGTATTCAGAGTAGGGTTTTGAATTCCGAGAGGTAGGGTGCCAAAGTCATATTTCAAGCCTGGATGAGGGTTTTCGAGTCAGCGTTTGGGTGAGGCGTTAACGCCGCTGAGTGAAAATGAAAGGCTGCCAATGTGGCCGCCTGCCTTTGGTGGTTTCCCCCGAGCTGGCCTGGCTTGTTATCTCCACGAGGTGGCCCCTGTGAATTCCGACACTTTGATAAATGATCCCGCTGCCTTTTTTAATCATTTTTTCCCCCAGATTTAATCATGCACCTGATGAGAATAAGCTAGCAGCAAAAATCAAGACAAAATGAGTTTTCCTTGTCGCGTCCTTCAGCGACACATGACGTCTCCCAACATATGCAAAGCGATAATGCGCCATTCTCATTATTGGACTTTTTTTTGTGGGGGGGGGGGGGACTGAATGCAATCATGGAAAGTTAATATGCGCCCACTTTGCTTTGTCTTTTTCTCCCGCTGCAGTGACATTCCAGAGAGTCGACGGTGGCCTGATGAGCAATGGGAGGTGAGTACAACAACAACAAAAAAAGTCTCAATGTTTCCATACATACAGTATGTCTCTCTATGCAGATGTAAATATTAGGCACGTTAAAAAAAAACAACAACATGAATCGGAAAATGCATTTTGATTTAAAACATGCGACCGAATAGAATGGCTCCACTTCCAAATGTACTGAAATGTGGATGATCTTCTATTGGAGAGCAAGAGAGAGAGCCATGAAGGAAATGCCACATTTACTCTTGTACTGCCGAGTTCATTCCGATGGACGGAAGGACGGCAAGAAACTCTCAGGTAGGCGGGGGGCCCCCTGCGTCTGTCCTAAAAATCTAGCTCGGGGGGGAAACCTTCTTCATTTTTCAATGAGTGCCCGATCCCGTTACTGCTTCCTCCAAATGTGTTGACGAATGACTGGTGCGAAGGGAACAGGAAATAGTCATGCTGCACAGATTGGGGGAGGGGGGGGGTCACACAACTTTGGCTTGCCCCGAGGCGTTCGCAGCCACCAGCACACCGCAAACAAAAACAGGCACCAAAAGTCTTTATTCGTCCGTTTGTCATCGCCCGGGCCGAGCCGCGCGCATCGCAAAGCAAGAGACGCGCCCCGCCACCGGCGCCCCCGGCCGACTGCCTTTGAGCCACTCCGCGGTATGGCTCGTGCTCCTTCCCGCTCCTCAAAAAGCGGCGAAAATATGCATTCCGGTCGCATCCCGTGCCTTCGTGCATCGCTTAGATGAACTCATCCATCTCTTTGGCGGAATTAAGCGAAACAATTTAAGCAGAGAGGGCTTTTATTTTGTCATTTATCTTTGCGGGCAAAGCCAGGAGGAGCCCTCCGGAGTGATAAATTTGCCTGTCACCTCGCGTGGGCGGCCGGGATCTGAGCACGTGTAATAATGTAAAAATAATTACCCGGGAGAAAGGTGTGTGTCCGCCTGCCTGCTTGCGCGCGTGTACGTGTGCTTCCCAGCCTCGGCAGCTCGTGCAGACCGCTCCATCCGTGTGCGTGTTCGTGAAAGGTCTGCAGAGAGCATCTCAAGTGACATCACTTACGTACGTGCTTATTGTTGCACTCTTAAAAAAAAAAAAACACAGAACCCAATCCGGGTCAAAAATGGACCCGTCCACTACTCCACAATTTTTACCCAAATTTGGTTCTTTTTGACCCGACTGTATTTAGGGTGAATGTGGCTGGTTGGAGAGTTCAAGTCTTGCATGGATAAAGGAGGCGTCTTGCCTCTCGTCTTGTTGCTAGCAGCTGTCTGGTGCTTCGAAATTTCAATGTCAAACCAAGTTTCCTCCTGATAATTTAGACATGGGTGGATTTTTCCCACACGTTGTTTTTCTCACAAGCGCGCTTTGGCTTTTCGGAATTGGAACGCAAGCGACGCCCCCGTCAAGTTAGCAGAGCATAGCCGCCGCCGCCGCCTCCAGGCGGGAGCTCTCCCATCCGCGTGTCGTCTTCCAGATGTCGCAGCTTCTCCATCTGCGCCCCGCATCAGAACGTGCGGCTTTTTGCTTGCGGGAGCGTGTATTTTATTTTTTTGTTTTTTGTTTTTTTGCATTAATCAGGCGATCGCAAACGAAGCCGTGTCTCTTTCGGCTTTCCTATTGGCCACCGCCAAATTGCCACGACTGAATCAACGATTCGCGGAAGATGAATAGGCAGCAGATTGCCCGATTTGATGTCGTGCGACCGGTTGACTGCCCGTTTGAAATTCATCAAAGACAACCATTGCTTCATTCGTTCTTCGTAATAACTTCACCAATCTTAGTTCCGATCAGTATTTCAGCAAAAAAGATTTACTTTACAAGATGTGTTGCGTTGACATTGTTGCCATAGCGATTTGCCTTTTTTATTTTTATTTTTTTTAACGCTCACCAACATCTCTCAGAATGAATCCCCATTGTTTGACGCGTGAGCTCTGGACAATGCTTTTTAATCCAAGCTGCATTCAGCCCCAAAGACCATAAACCCCTGATAAATGAACTTTCCCTCCATTTAATATCATCCTAGCTTGGCGTATTTACGACACTTGTTTTTTTCTTTTTTTTTTTTTTTTTTGGGCCAGCCCAACTCGACGCCAATGAGATTTGATCCGCCAAGGTTGCCATCCATCCTGGGTCGGGCGGGGGGGATTAAAAGTCAGGTGTCAACTCTTCATTAGATGTATGACCACCCATCCCCAAGCGCGGCGCGCACACACACACACACACACACACACACACACACACACACACACACACACACACACACACACACACAAATGCGGTGATGTGTGTGTGTGTGTGTGTGTGTGTGTGTGTGTATAACAAATATCCCCAGTAGAAATCAGTCTTATTCTAATTATCCCGAGCGGGAGTGCTGCGGTGTGACGGATACAAGGACGACGCAGCCATTCAGCTGTCAGGTGCTCGTCTTTCAAACTGTCTGCTGGGCTGGCGGGGAAGGGCCACACACACACACACACACACACACACACACACACACACACACACACACACACACACACGCGCACGCAGGAGGACAAGCAAGACTAATTTTCCAATGTAGCCTTTAGCGCAAGAGGACACACCAAACCCTGTTGGCCCCCAGTGGTAAAAACTTGACTTTCAGTGGAGGAAAGTGTATGAGGTCACGGTCGAGTGAGAGCAGTCGGTGGTGAGGATGTGTCTGAGGCGCAGCCATCAATTTGAATGACTGCTCTCCCCCCACGGGCCTGCTTTGGCATTCAGGAACCCAGCGACGCTCGCCAGGGCCGCTGTGAATGTAAAACCCGGTCTCGCTTCTCATTAGACCCTGTAGCATCTCTTCCTCGGGGCTGCAGGTGTACACCCCCCCCCCCACCGCCCCCTTTCCTTTAGTCCCCTCAAAGCTCCCGCTCCTCCTGCTGGAGCTGAGACAAGAAGGGCCCACCAGGCAGCCGTGCCGCGAAGCGCCGGTGCTCCGCAGCCCTCCTGACTGCGCGCGCCGGTGCAACACGCGGCACCGGCGGGCATAGACGTCCCTGCTTTAAATACGGGCTGACGGGTGCGGGGTGAAAAAGGATGAAAGCATATTGTGGCTGTTTCTCACATGTGGAAGTCACGCTTAGATGGTGTGCGCTTGCTGTGATCACGACGGTGGTGGATTCAAAGCCAAGTGTAATAATGCCAGGTTGAATTTTGTGTGTGTGTGTGTGTGTGTGTGTGTGTGTGTGTGTGTGTGTGTGTGTGTGTGTGTGTGTGTGTGTGTGTGTGTGTGTGTGTGTGTTTTCCGCAAGCAAATATGAGCATCTGTCCCTGCAAATGTTGTTGGAACGAGTGACCTTTGTTTTTTGTTTTGTTTTTGTTGTTGTTTTTTTGTCTTTCCCAAGGTGTCCAGCTGTGCGTCATTGCAGTTAAAGATTATAAGGTTGGGGGTTTAGGGGCAGCGATATCAGGTCTCGGATTTTTGGTTCAGGTGGCTTTAGGGATTGGCAGTTGGGGTTAGATGGGTGTGGGTTTAAGAGGGTGGTCTGGGTTGTTACCCCCACGATCCGACCCCACATCAGTGGTAGAGAATGGATGGATGGATTGATGGATGGGTTGGTTCTGGGTCTGGGTTAACTGTAAGTGCTCTATAAATACAGTTCAGTTGAGTTGAGTTGATTAGGAATTTGGGTTAGGATAGTTAGGATCGGTTAGGAGTTGGGTTTGGGGGTAGGTTTATGGGCTCAGATTAGGATAGGGTATAGGGTTGGTGCGTATTACGCCCTGGCCCTGGCCTTAGGGTTGGGGTTAAGTGGAGTTGATGTATCGATGTGTGGTCAAATTAGGTTCCATTCAATTCAAGAAATTATGGGGGGGAGTATTCCCCCAATTAAAAAAAAAACAAAACAAAACAAAACACGTTACATGTGTGAATGGGTTTCAGGATGAGTGGGCTCGGGTCAGGAGTTAAATTAGTGTTCCCGGTTGGAATATGGTCAAAGTGGTTGAACGGCAATCTCAAATTGGATCGAGGAACAAAATCAGAACAATGATGAGCCACGCACGCTCACATTTGGCTTTGATGAACCGACGCGTCCATTTCTGGTCCTCGCTTAACTGCCGCCTGTGTCGCCCCCACGCTAACGAAGCTCTGACGTGATCGTACAGTTAAGTGGCCTTAATGGCCCCGCTGCAGTCACCCGTGACAGGTTACACTCTTAATGGCTTACTTTTATGGTTGGCGTCCCTTCCAAGGAGGCACGGAACACCTGTTCAGTGGACCCACCTCCTTCACCAAGCTCCTGATTTTCGCCAGCATCATCCCTGGCGCCGGACCTCGTCGGCCATGCCGAGAGCTTTGATGTCTCATCAAAGATTTCGGGCTGTCCGGATAATGGCTGCAAGAGGCTGATGGGGAAAGGAAAGCGCTTTGAGGAGAAACATATCGCTGTAATTTCTCATCGGCGTCCGCTTATCTCCGGCCAGCACCTGGCAACTCCTCTTACATGTGTTGGATTTCAGCTTTGGATTCCGACGGCCGCCTTGTGTTTGCTCTTCACTCTGCAGAATTCACAGAAGCGCCGCTCTTGCCCGAAGGAATTCCGACTTTGTGGCGAGGAGAAACATATCGCTGTCATTTCTCATCGGCGTCCGCTTATCTCCGGCCAGCACCTGGCAACTCCTCTTACATGCCGCAGTGTGTTTGCTCTTCACTTTGCAGAATCCACAGAAAGCTATGCCGAGGTTTTTTGTTTTTTTTTAAGTTAGAGGTTGGGGTTAGAGTTGGATCAGGATTGAGGTTCAGGGGTTCCATATTTGTTGCCACTTTTGACTAAAAGCTGCTCTCTGATCTTGTGCTCCTTCCCAGCCGGCCAGGCTTACTGAACGGCAGCGACCCGGCGTACCCCTGGTTGGCCGACTCCTGGCCCGCCTCCAGCT